CTGCCACCATCATTTACAGGTAGGAAACCTCAGTAGCAATATCAGTTGCTTAATATCCCACAGTCAAATCATCTATCATCTACTGCATACATTATATTCAGAGGTGTTCCTAATATTCTGACCCTCTCATGTATGTAGCTGGGGAGGACACAAATATACACACCTTTGAATATAATGTAGTCTAGTACAATTCAACTATGACTTCAGTAATAAGCATAATATTGAACTTTTATTTTATGACAATTTTATCAAAATCAAACATTTTAAGCTTCATAAACACAGATATTAAGGCAGAAGTGTTGCACTGAAGTGCATGCAATTGTACAAACATATATAATAAAGTGGCCGGTATGCATCACATACAGTGCGCAGTAAAAACCTTCCATGAGCAACAGCTTAACCAGCCAACCAACTCGTTTCACAGTTTAGGCCAGTGTATCTGAAGATCATCTGGAAATACAGTATATTCAAATACAGTATACTCAATATGTATTAACTTTAAACATGGCTCATAATAAAACTAACTTAAGTAAAATATCAAAATAATATGAAGGGAAGGTGTACAGATTAACTATCATCTTCAGTACAATTTGTGTGACTCATGCCATGTAATGCAAAACTTATTGAAATTGCACAAAGATTAAAAACATTCTCATATCAAAAGCGGCTCTACCACCTTTATAATTAAACTGATCCTCATGACAAGTCTGAATCATGACCATAGTCATAATTTATAATTGGAGAAGATAATATGGCTGTTTCTACAGGTATGTGCCAAAAAATTAGAATATCGAGGAAAAGTCCATTTATTTCAATAATTTGTTTCAAAAAGTGAAACTTGTATGTTATATTAGTTCACTGCACACAAAGTGAAATATTTCAAGCCTTTATTTGTTTCAATTTTGATGATTACGGATTAAAGACAAAAAAAAAAAAAAACAAATCCAGTATTTCACAAAATTAGAATATCATATCAAAGTTCAACATTGTAGGCTCCCTGTGTCCCAATCTAGTCAGCTAATTAATGCAAAACACCTGCAAAGGTTTCCTCAGCCTTGAAATTGTCTCAGTCTGGCTTAGTAGGCTTCAGAATCATGGGAAAGACTGCTGACTTGACGGTTGTGCAGAAGACCATCATTGACACCCTCCATAAGGAGGAAAAGTCTCAAAAGGCAATTGCAAAAGAAGCTGGATGCTCAAGAAGAAGGGAAGAATGTGGCCGGAAAAGGTGCAAAAGTGACAGGGATGACCGCAGCCTTGAGAGGATTGTCAAGCAAGGGCGATTCAGAAATCTGGGGGAGCTTCATAAGGAGTGGACTGAGGCTGGTGTCAGTGCATCAAGAACCACCACATACAGACGTCTGCATGACATGGGCTACAGCTGTAGAATTCCATGCGTCAAGCCACTCCTGAACCAAAAACAACGTCAGAAGCGTCTGTGCTGGGCTAAGGAGAAACAGTACTGGTCTGTTGCCCAGTGGTCCCAAGTCCTGTTTTCAGATGAAAGCAAATTCAGCATTTCATTTGGAAATCAAGGTTCCAGAGTCTGGAGTAAGACCAGAGAGGCACAAAAGTCAAGCTGCTTAAAGTCCAGTGTGAAGTTTCCACAGTCAGTGATGGTTCGGGGAGCCATGTCATCTGCTGGTGTGGATCCATTGTCTTTTATCAAGTCCACAGTCAACGCAGCTGTCTACCAGGAAATTTTAGAGCACTTCATGCTTCCCGCTGCCGACAAGCTTTTTGGAGCTGAAGATTTTATTTTCCAGCAGGATTTGGCACCTGCCCACACAGCCAAAATTACCAGTACCTGGTTTAATAGCCATGGAATAACTGTACTTGATTGGCCGGCAAACTCACCTGACTTAAACCCCATTGAAAATCTATGGGGTATTGTCAAGAGGAAGATGAGGGAACACAGACCCCGAAATGCAGACAAGCTGAAGGCCAATATCAAAGCAACTTGGGCTACCATAACACCTCAACTGTGTCAAAGGCTGATCGCCTCCATGCCACGTCGCCTTGATGCAGTAATTAATGCAAAAGGAGGCCCAACAAAGTACTGAGGACATAATACAGTACATTAACACACTTTTCAGAAGGCCAACATGTGTTTAAGATCCTTTTTTTATTGGTCACATGAAATATTCTAATTTTGTGAAATACTGGATTTGGGTTTTTTTTGTCTTTAATCCATAATCATCAAAATTGAAACAAATAAAGGCTTGAAATATTTCACTTTGTGTGTAGTGAACTAATATAACATACAAGTTTCACTTTTTGAAACAAATTATTGAAATAAATGGACTTTCCCTCGATATTCTAATTTTTTGGCACATACCTGTAATGTTGCAGTACTGTGCATGCAGAAAGTATTCAAAGCGCTTACCTTTTTCCACATTTTGTTAGGTTACAGCCTTATTCAAAAATGAATTAAATTCATCATTGTCCTCAAGATTCTACAAACTATACTCCATAATTACAATGTGAAAAAAGTCTGTTTGAAATTTTTCCAAATTAAAAATAAAAAAAATGTAAAAATCACATGTACATAAATATTCACAGCCTTTGCCATGACACTTAAAATTGAGCTCTGGTGCATCCTGTTCCCACTGATCATCCTTGAGATGTTTCTACAACTTGATTGGAGTCCACCTGTGAAAAATTCAGTTGATTGGACATGATTTGGAAAGGCATACACCTGTCTATATAAGGTCCCACAGTTAACAGTGCATGTCAGAGCACAAACCAAGCTATGAAGTCCAAGGAGTTGTCTGTAAAGCTCCGAGACAGGATTGTATCAAGGCACGGATCTGGGGAAGGGTACAGAAAAATTTCTGCAGCATTGAAGGTCCCAATGAGCACAGTGGCTTCAATCATCCATAAATGGAAGACGTTTGGAACCACCAGGACTCTTCCTAGAGTGGGCCGCCCGGCCAAACTGAGTGGTCGAGAGAGAAGGGCCTCAGTCAGGGAGGTGACCAAGAACCCAATGGTCACACTGAAAGAGCTCCAGCATTTCTCTGTGGAGAGAGGATAACCTTCCAGAAGAACAACCATCTCTGCAGCACTCCACCAATCAGGCCTGTATGTTAGAGTGGCCAGACGGAAACCACTCCTCAATAAAAGGCACATGGCAGCCCACCTAGAGTTTGCCCAAAGGCACCTGAAGAACTCGCAGACCATAAGAAACAAAGCTCTCTGGTCTGATGAAACAAAAAATTGAACTCTTTGGCCTGAACGCCAAAGCGTCATGTCTGGAGAAAACCAGGCACCGCTCACCACCTGGCCAATACCATCCCTACAGTGAAGCATGGTGGTGGCAGCATCATGCTGTGGGGATGACTAGTCAGGATTGAGGGAAAGATGACTGCAGCAATATACAGACACATCCTTGATGAAAACCTGTTCCAGATCACTCTGGACCGCAGACTGGGGCGATGGTTGATCTTTTCAAGAACCCTAAGCATACAACCAAGATAACAAAGGAGTGGCTACGGGACTCTGTGAACGTCCTTGAGTGACCCAGCCAGAGCCCAGACTTGAACCCGATTGAACATCTCTGGAGAGATCTGAAAATGGCTGTGCACCAACGCTCCCCATCCAACCCGATGGAGCTTGAGAGGTACTGCAAAGAAGAATGGGAGAAACTGCCCAAAAATAGTTGTGCCAAGCTTGTAGCATCATACTCAAAAAGACTTGAGGCTGTAATTGGTGCTAAAGGTGCTTCAACAAAGTATTGAGCAAAGGCTGTGAATATTTATGTACATGTGATTTTTTTGTTTTTTATTTTTAATAAATTTGCTAAGACTTCAAACAAACTTTTTTCACATTGTCATTATGGAGAATTGTTTGTAGAATCTTGAGGACAATAATGAATTTAATCCATTTTTGAATAAGGCTGTAACCTAACAAAATGTGGAAAAAGGTAAGCGCTTTGAATATTTTCTGCATGCACTGTATGTTGTTTACAGCTACTGAGCACATCTGGCCCCTGCCCTTTATTTTAATCAGATCGGAACATCCACTGTAAAGAATCTCAAAATAACAAAACAAGTAATCACATAAATTTAGGCATTTATGGCAGGCAAAGCTTAAATATCAACTGGGTCAAATTTGCCCTCGGGTCACAGACCCTCAGGGATGCCCAAACTGCCAGAATCATTGTGTGTCTCGTGGTTTGTGGTAATTTAATTAGCGTCTCTGTCTTGATGATTTGTGTGAAGCTTTATGTGATTCATATACCTAAATACAATCTTGTTTGACTAAATTACCACAAACAGGGGGTTAATGGGGGCCCATGGCTCATTTTTGCTCTGCAACTCCATAATTTGGTCATTAAAGCAAGTGAGTGAAGTCAATTTGGAATTTCTTGATGGAGCAAAACTGAGCAGATGCTTAATAAAAAGCACATGACCACATTTCCATGAATTTGTTCACACAAACTATGAACTGTAGCTTCAAAGTGATGAAAAAGGCATGCAAATTAGACAAAATGAGAAAATGATGTGTATTATCTTCATTCAAATTAATGAAAACAAGTAAATGAAGTCTGTTTTTGCCTCCACACAAAATCATCTCATGATGTTGATATAATCAGTCCTAGCCTCAGAGTGGGTTTTATTCCTCTGTGGCACCTTCAGGGAAAAACGGTAATTGGTTATTTGGTGCAGCTATTTCCCCAAGTGCGGTTCAAGCGAGAATGAGATACTTTTTTAAAGGTATTTATATGCCTGGCCCCATGAAGTGACACTGAGTAATGCAAACAGCTTTGTGGCATTAATGTAACAAAAGTAAAATGTAGCCTGACAATTGCTTGGCAGGTTGCTCTCTGGCATCAAAAGACAGGTCAGTATGATCAATAAATAACTGAGACCATGCTGGGCAGCCTGTCTACCGTGCACCAGTAAAAAAAGGCATGCTGCAGAGAC